GCCCCGGGCAGCGCTGGGTATCGGAAGGCGCTCAGCCTGCGTGCGTGCTGCCAGCAGCGCTCGGCCACGGCGCATGGCACCCACGTGCAGCAGCACCCACAACTGGCAAAGGGCACCCCGCTCCAGGTGCCGGGGCACAGATCCCTGCTGGCCCCCTCTGAGCGGGACTGCACCCCAAAACCCAACCCCATACCCAGACTGGGCACAAGCCGTTAGGGTCCAGGCAGAAGGGTGGCACTGCCAGCCTCACCCGCCGGTGACACCGGTGCCACCGCGATGAGCCCACAGTCACCAGCTTGTCCGCGTGCACATCCAGTGGCGTCAGCTGGCACAGACAGTGGCATCCCCCCTCCGAGCCCCCGATGCCCCCCAGGCAGGGACGGGCACACTTCGGGGAGCCGGCCTTACCTTGGCTTGGCACTTGGTGTGGCAGGAGAGCTGGGAGCCTGTGGGAGGGAGAGGGGAGAGAGGGTCAGTGGGGGCAGGAGAAGGGGCATGGCCAGGGGCCACCAGGACATGCACATGGATGCCCACGCCTTGCACACGCGCGTGCACACTCTGAGTGGCACCAGCACGGCACAGCACCTTGTGCACACGCGTGTGGCGCTCGGGCACATACCCGCGAGCCGTCCCCCACTGGTGCCAACGTGCCGGGGAGCGTGCGCGCGTGCAACCCTGGTGCCCGGGCGTTACCGGCGTGAAGGGAGGCCGTGCACGGACACGTCCCACGAGGCCTCGCACGTGCACCGCAAGGGTGCTGCCGCTGCCCGTGCCCCCGCCTGCCCGCGCGCTGCTGCTGCGCGCCCGCGCCCCGGCAGAGGAGGGCACGTGCAGATGGCCGGTGCGGGCGTGTGTTTGTCGCTGCTGGGGACACGCACTTGCGCAGGGCACCGACACGCCGCCCGGGCAGCCCTGCAAAGCCACACGTCCCGTCCCCAGGGGACACGAGGGTCCCTGCTCAGCGTAGCCAGGGCCGCCCCCCCAGGCCCCGGCCCCCCTGGGGGCCGCTTCCTGCGGCGGAGGAAGCCGCATTGTTCAGCGGCGTTTCCGCCCGCCGCCCCTCGCACGGGGCTCGGCGGCACCGCACACGTGCGAGGGGCCGCGGCACCGCCTGCGTCCCGCTGCCAGGGGCAGTGAGCGCGGCAGAGGGTGCGAGCGCCCACCCGTGCGCACAGACCGGCACGCGTGCACACACTGGTGCGGTGACATTTGCACGCTCGCCACACGCACAGGCAGCTGACGTGCGGCCACATGCACGCATGCACGAGCCTCCGCGGGCCACCCTCGCCTCCCAGCCACCTTCCCGCCCGCAGAGGCACCACGCGCACTCTTGCACACCCACAGGCTGCCCCGCTAACCCGCGTGCACACACTCACGCGAGCGCAGGCTGGCACAGGCTCGTGTTCCCACCTTCACATCCTCGTGCACGCAGCTGCACACGCAGGCGCACGCACGCATCCCCTGGTGCCCTGACCCCCTGGCACACCCCCTTGCACACGTGCGTGCCCGCACCCCTGGCTCACCTCGGCAGGTGCTGCCCTGGCGCGTGATGGCCTGCCGGCAGATCCCGCAGGCCTTCACCTTCTTGAAGCTCGTCATCTTGAAGGCGTGTGCCGGGGGGGCCTCCAGGTCCTGGGGCTGGGGGGACACGGGGCTTCGTCAGCGGGAACGAGGTGGCGCGGAGACCCGGGTGCTCAGCCCTGCTCTGCCTCAGTTTCCCTCTGGGCAGGGAGGGGGTCATCCTCCACCACCACGCCCCCCCCCCGGTGCACACACATGTGTGCACGCGTGTGTGCGTGTGCACGCGCGTGCCCACACTGTGCATGCACACGCGTGAGCGGACCCACGCCTGCGTGCACGTGTGCCCACGCGTGTTCGAGCACGTGTGCGTGCACATTCGTGTGCGCGCGCGTGCAGACGTGTGTGCGCACACGCGGGCGCTCGCTCGTGTCTCCCCGCGTGCTGGTGCACTCCCACGCGTGTCCCCACGCTTCCGCGAGCACACTCCGGCGGGCCTAGGGGGTGCGGTGCCCCCCCGAGCACCAGCAGCCGTGCCCACCCCGCCGATGCCATGAGTGTGAGCGCAGGATGGATCCGAACGTGTGCAGGCGCCGGGATGTGAGCATGTAAGCGTGTGCGTGCACTCACACAGGGGGGCTGAGGGCAAGGGGGGGGTCCTGGCACAGCTGCAGGAAGCCAGCGCCCCTCCCAACACCCCCACGGCTGTTTTTGGGGTGGTGGGGGAGCACCCCCTGGCAACCTGCCAGCCCTGCCCACCCACCCACCACCAGATGAAGACATGAGCCCCCATAAATCCGCCTTTCCATGCCAAGACTAATGAGATTAAGCAGGGGCGCAGCAGGCCCACCCTTGCCCGGGGTCCCCGCCCT